TCTAAAAATCAAATCAAATGTATCTTGTAAAATTTTTTACTAAATATTTTTGTAACTCATTGTGTGTCTAATTTGTTAACCTTTAAAGGAACAAATAAAATCTTAAATGACAAAAAAAAAAATAATGCAATAAACTGTATTAACTCGCGGAAAAAATAACTTATTTTTTTGATGCATCTTGCATGTTATTTTATATTGTATGTCTTGTATTTATGGAAATAGTCTAGTTAGCTTTATAGCTCTTTTTTTTAATTTGAGTAGGAGGGTCAATATTAATTATTAACATTAAATAGAGATTTGCTATTTTAGGATCGCCATTCTGACGATATTTCAACAGCATCATTAGAAGTTCAAGAACACTTCGATTCCGATATAAGTGTTTTACTACAAGATAAACAACATTTACAAGAAAAATTAGAAGCAGCCCATCTTTGTGTTCGACAACTGGAAAATGAACTTGATTCAACAAAACAAAAACTGAAAGATGCCGACGAAGAGATTAACGCAAAATATGAAAGTTTATTAGTTAAATTTAATGAAAAATCCGATTATATGGAACAATTAATTAGTGATAAAACAAAACTTGAAACATCCAATGAAGAACTTCAACAACAAATTCAAACACTTCAACAAGATGTTAATCAACATTCCGATTTAAATCTTATTGTATTAAATCAACAAATGAATATTGCAGACTTAACTGACGAAGTAAATAAATTACGAGAAACTATAAAAAATGTCGATACTATTCTTCCATCAAGTCAATCGACCGATTTATACGAAAAAATTCAAGAAATAATTAACGATCGACAAAATCTCTCTCAAGAAATTCTAAATGAAAAGCAACAAATTGAACAATTTGAAAATGAAATTCAAAAGCTAAAAGAAATTTTATCAAATGAAAAAGAGCAACATTTTAAAAATATCGATACTCTTAAACATGAATATGAAGAACGAATCAATCAATTGCAGAAGTCCACAGGTTAGCTTAATGTTACTAAGAAGTTAATCTTACGAATAGTTCAATAATCATAATATAGAAATATCTCTCTTCTATGATCTTAACTAGAACAGTTGCTCTCGGATTGAACACATGGGATACAGCAAGATGAGACCTAGTTTCTGCTCTTACAAAAAACTGAATTCAAACAAGCCACTCGTCTGGTATACTTTCGAATAGATATTCATTTTGACGTATACAATCTGAATTGGTATTTTTTTCCATATAGATGGACTGTTGAAAATGTCTGAAGAGATTCGGTTCCTCTTACGAGGGACCATTCCAAGTGATTCGCACCGTTTGGTCTAATATTTTGCTCGTAGGAAGGATCCAATGAGACTAGGAAAAGATTAAAAGATTTTTTCGCGCCATTAGGCATTTTCTTCGAAGTTATAACCGTTTTACTGAATTTTCGACCTTGGTCAAGGGATTTATAGAAAAGCTGTATGAAGGAATTTCGAACTGAAATTTTTCCTAACAATAGGTCTCATCGGTGTTAGAACGTTCCAAACGTTTCAGTTAAAGATGATGCTTTCTTTTAGAGATATTGCAGATTGAAGAAAAGTCAATTTTACGATAATTTTTGAACCATGGCCGTTTTCTTTAATCTGCAATATCTCTAAAAGAAAGCATCATCTTTAACTGAAACGTTTGGAACGTTCTAACACCGATGAGACCTATTGTTAGGAAAAATTTCAGTTNACGGTTATAACTTCGAAGAAAATGCCTAATGGCGCGAAAAAATCTTTTAATCTTTTCCTACTCTCCTTGGATCCTTCCTACGAGCAAAATATTAGACTAAGCGGTGCGAATCACTCGGGAATGTTCCCTCGTTAGTCTGTACACTACGAAATTGAGTTTAGCACTAGCTGATCGCTATTTAACGTCTCTAGATGAATAGCGAATCGCTCAATTTCCCTTTCATATTTCTTAAAACTGTGTCGTTGATTTGCAAAAATGCTAAGATAACTTATTTCGTATTTCTTCTTGGTCATCTAAAAATTCTACTTTTGCTTTCTTACTAGATGATGAAATCAATCAACTTAAAGTTTGTCTGGCAAAAATACAGCAAGATTACGATGAATCCACTACTAATTGTACTCAATTAAAAGATACAATAGAAAGTCAACGACAAGAACATTTTGAACAAATAGCAAATCTGAACCATGAAAAACAAAATGAATTTGATACAAACATTCGACAATTACAAGAAGACAATAAACATCTAAAATCTCAACTTGAAGAACTTGAAAAATTAAAAGATTCTTCCGTTCAATCTTTACAAGATGAACATCGAAAATCATTTGAAATCTTAGCAACACAATTTGATGACACATATAAAGAACGATTATCGAGTGTCGAAGATGAACTGAAAACTACCATTGCAAAACAAACTGATCAAATCAATGAATTAAACTTTCAAATTGATCGACTCGAAAAACTATCCAATGAACAAAATGTTAAATTAGATCAAGCTGAAAGTGAATATAAAAAAAAGTCAAGTTATATTGAACAGCTTGAGAACGATTTACGCAATCTTCAATTATCACAAAAAGAAGAATTTAATAATACAACGAAACAATTACAAGATAATCTTCAACAACTCGATGAACTACAAGCAAAAAATAATCAACTTGAACAAGAACTCAACAATAAACAGAATGAATTCGACAATCATCAAGCCACAACTAAAGAAATAAACAAAAAAATAAAAATTCGACTTACTGAAAAGGAAAATGAAATCACTCGTCTTAATAATATCATTGATGAAATTAAAACTACTAGCGAATTCAGCACAGAACAACTTGAAGATAAACAACATAAAGTTACACAACTCAGCGCCACTATAAATCAACTGGAAGAAACGAATCAAAAACTGAACAGTAAATATGAAAAGCTCTTGGAAGATAATCAGAATGAAATTAATGCATTAGAAGCGACTAACAAAGCATCTAATGACAAAATTGAAGAAAAACAGAACGAAATCGTGCAGCTCAATTCTACTATTGAAAAAATGAAAGAAACCGACGAATCAATCACTGCAGAATATGAAAATGTTAGCAAACAACTTATAGAAAAACAAAACCAAATAACTATCCTCGCTGATGAACTAACACAGAAGAATTCAAAATTGATTGAAGATCTTGAACGGATTAAAAAGGAACTTGAAGATAAGTCAAATGAAGTTATTCATCTTACAAATACCATTAGTGAATTACAATCAAGAAATACCGACATTAACAACCTTCGATCCACAACTACTGAAGAATGCGAAACGTTAAAACTTCAACTTAGCGAAAAGGAGAACGAAATCATTCATCTTAACCATGTTATCGATGAAATTAAAGCAGCAGACGAAAATTTCAAAGCACAACTCGATGAAAAACAAAACAAAATTACTCATCTCGCCACCGTCACTGATGAGCTGACACAAAAAACTTCGATTCTAGCCGACGATCTTGAAAGCATTAAAAAAGAATTTGACGATAAATCAAATGAAGTTATTCATCTTACCGATACGATCAGTGAATTACAATCAAAAAATGCTGAAATGAATAATCTTCAATCCGCGGCTAATGAAGAATACGAAAAATTAAAAAATCAATTTACCGAAAAAGAAAATAAAATTCTTCATCTCGTTAACATCATCGATGAAATGACACAGAAAACTGCCATACTAACCGACGATCTTGAACGAACTAAAAACGAACTGGAAGATAAGCAAAACACAATAAATCAACTAGAACAAAATAATCAAACTTTAAATAATAAATGTGAAAAACTACTCGAAGATAAAGATACTGAGGTCGTTCGTCTTACTTCACTGAATAATCAAATCAAGGAAAGTAACGAACTGACCGTGGAAGAACATGAAACACTAAAAAACCAAGTAGAAGAAAAGCACAATGAAATTCTTCGTCTTACAATTCTCATTGAAGAGATGAAAGCACAGAATTTGTCGAGTATTGAGCAACAAGAATTAGTTAGAAAACTACTTGAAGAAAAACAAAATGAAATCGTTCAACTTACAGCTAATATAGATGAAATACGAACAACAACAGCCGATCAAAGCGAACAGTTAAAGCAAACTATTGAAATTCTCAAAGAATCACAAATTATTGATCAACAATTAATTGAGCAAGCAAACAGAGAAGTATAAATATTTTCCATAAAAAAAAAGAAAACTTCACCTTTCGAGCTTATTCACTTCATTGCATACATGAAAAACTGCGAGCATATCCAATCCGTAAGAAAATCAAAAATACCAAAGACTGCTCATAGGACTTCGCTGTTTATGTTGAGAATTGGATTTGTCACTTTCTAGTTTCGGCGAATCACAGAGAGATTGCCATCAGATTGAGAAGTGATGTAGGCTGATCCTTGGACGTTATTTTTGTTATACATTTTAATATGATACATATTAATTAGATCGCATAAACATATTTTACTCTTTTCTTTTCTTTTTTGAAGTGTCGCTCTACATAATATGGATTAGTTGAGAGAGTCATCGACTATTTAACTGATTCATTTCCTTTTCTTTTCGCTTGTATAGATCGAAACACTTAAAAAAAATCTTTCCGATGAACAATCCAATTCTGCTGCCTTAAAACACGCACAAGAATCCCACGTCGAACAATTAACTATTGAACACGAGCAATTAATTGAAAATCTAAAATTTGAATACGTTTCAATGACTAATGAAAAAATAGAAGAAATTGATAGTCTTCATCAGCAAATATCATTTCAACGTTCTCGATCGGATTCTCATCAAGACACTATTGAACAATTACGCAAAGAACTTCACGAATACGAAAAAAACGTTTCTCAACAAAATGCTCAACTTGATCATTTACTTGATGAACAAAAACAACGAACAGAATCAATAGCACGTTTAAAAAATATTCTCAACGTTGATGCAACAGATCACGATGATCTATTGGAACAATTGATACACAAAATGGAACAATATCAATTGTTAATAAGTGAATCCGAACGTTTAAACAATGACTTAACTCAACAAAAATCTGAACAATCACATCTTCATAATGAACTACAACAATTAGAACAACAATTTGATGATATGAAAGATGAGTTAAATAGAAATAAACAAGAATTAGCACAAGATAAACAAAAATATGAAAATCAATTAAATCAACTAAATCAAACCTACGAAACTTTACAAAAAGACAAACGTGCACTTGAAGTTCAATTCGAAAATATTCAAACTCAATTCAACGAGAAAACAAATCAATGCGATGAACTTGAAGCTAATTTTAAGAAAACGTTTATTGAAAAAGATGAACAAACATTAAAATATCAACAAGATTTTAATCAACTACAAACTTTTAATGAAGACCTTCGACGAGAATCAAATGATTTACATGATGAAGTAAAATCGAAAACAAATGAAATTCTTTCATTACAAGCAAATATCGATAGAATCCAACAAATATTACAATCAAAAGTTGATCAAATCGAACAGCTTTCACAAGACAAAACTTCTTTAGCCGAAGACAATAATCAAAAAGAACAGCTTGTATCTGAACACAAACATCTAATTGAAATACATGCAGTGCTAGAAGAAAAATTTAATCATCTTCTATCTGAAAAAGCTAGATTAGAAAATCAATTAGATACAATTAGAATACAAATGCAAACAACAGAATCGAATGCAAGTAAAACAGAACAAGAAGTGATTAATAAACTTCAACAAGCTGAAAAACGAATTCAAGAAATTCAGGTGAGTTTACTAATTAATTAAATATTCTTCTCATCCGGTCATCACCCTGAATATATAATTGAAGATAATTATTTCATTTAGATTGAACACGACTCGGTTCAAGCAGAAAAGAACTCATTACAACATCAAATCGTTTCATTGCGAACTACCAATGAAGAAAATACTCGTCGTATAGCTGAATTTGATTGTCAAAGATCAATTTTTGAACAGGAAAGTATTGAAAAAGATCGACAAATAACAGAACGTGATGAACAAATTCAAGAACTGCAATCGACCCTCACACAAACTCAAGAAAACGGAACTAAATTACGTAAAGCATTACATAAAATGAAAGAAACTTTGACGAATAATGACCAAACACGTACTCAGGAATCAGGTGAATTTTCAATAATTAATACTTTTATTTTTCCACAACAAGTTTCATCTTTTATCTTCATTAGAAATTCGTTTGCGTATACTTACTGAAGAATATGAACAGAAACTGAAAGAGCAACAAGAAGAATATAGCACAAGTTTGAAATCGATAACTAAAGAATTGAATTCACAGATAGAAGAAAAAGAACAACAATTCAATCAACAACGTCAAGAATTAATCAGTAATCTTTTTTCTTTTTCTTTTTCTTATTGAAACTACGTTTTTTAAATTAGATAAAAGTTATCAAAATGAAGATAATATAAAACAAAAAATTATCGAGGCGGAACAACGAGCAACAGCTGCTGAAGAGCAATTACAAGTTTGTGTCTTTCTAGAGTTTCTTTTTCAATGAATAACAGAAAATATTATTTTTTAGGCAAAACAAACGGATACTAGTATTGTACAAGAACTCGAATCTCAAATTATTAATCTTCAACAACAACTCGAAAGTCTAAGCAATAGAGAAGCTGATTCTGTTCGGTATGTAAAAAGTATAGCTGTTGTCGCGACCGACTCGATGTTTTTGTAGAAACTAATAAACTTTATATATTTGTTTTTCATAGAACAACGGATTTCGCCGCTCAAACGAGTATTGAAGGTAAAAAAAAAGGAAGACACATAATTATGAATACATATTTTATATTTAGATCCGAGATTGATTTCGTCGCATGCTAGTTCAACTGATAGTTTACATACTTTTATGTTCGAACCTACTGAAATCGATTATTTAAAACAAATTGTTTTTGCTTATATGACAGGAACTGATCGAATGGTACGTTGAATACTCATTGTTAATAGATCGATACAAGAATTTCTTTTCTTAGACCATGATCAAAGTCATTTGTGCACTTCTGCGTTATACTGATGATGAAAAATCATTGATCATAGATCACGAGAAACTTCGTCAGAGTGTAAGTATAAAAATAGGATTCGAAATTTTTTATAACATCGTTTCTGTATTTAGCGGTGGCTAAAAACATCAAGATAATTTCCATAAATGTAATTATACTGCAATTTTTATTTTTTATTTCTCAAGTATACGCACTGTGAATCTCTCTTATCACAAAAAAAGCAATATTTATGACTTTGACTTTTTTCTCCTTGCGTTATTGTATTTGAATTTTTTTAAAGTTATTATTCTTCTTATTATTTTTTGTTTTTGATGATAGTGGTTCTTTCTTTCAAGTTATTTTTATGTATATTTATGTGCATCAAGTATTCTCAATGCATATTAAAATTAAGACAATATAAATTATTTGATAAATGCTCAAAAAAATATCAATATGAAGGAAAAAAAATCAAAGTCAATTTTTCCAATAGGAAACGATACTAGTTTTAAATAGTTTCATCCCGATTGGATATTTTCAAAGTATTAGAATGTTATCACTTATGTTCGATCACCAAACGATGGAAACTTCATTTTTGTGTACTCAAAAAAACTGAGTACACTCTAGATTCGGTCAGTGTGTCGGTCCGACCGTTAACACGATAACTTTTGAAAGCCTCATTCAATTGTCATGAAATTTTGTACACAGAATGATCTCATCAATATCTCAGTCGAGTTCGAAGATGAAAGCAATCCGTCACGAAATGGTTGAGTTATCGAAAAAATTGTCATTTTTGACCAGACCATCCCTGAGGAGGGGTACAGGGATTTTTTTTCAAAAGACAAATTTTTCTCAGAATTATTCACAACATATATAAATCGACTCAATCTTTAACGCTGATTCCGAATCTGATATTAGCTTTGAACTAAACCGTAGCTTTCTAACGAAACATCGCCTGAAAAACGTCTCAAAATGCACAAAAACTGCATCCAGAAATCAAATTGGCTAGTTTCTCATGATAATTTTGGTGTTCAGACATTCTAGAATGACTCATATGTCCCATGCACTTTTTGGCAGTACACATAACTCTCGGATGAAATCCGAAGTTTCCACATTTATTTAGTTTAAAATTTGAATAACAATTTGCTTCTTGGCTGAACGAAAATAGGATTTCACTTTGTATCGATTTAGGAGAATTATTTTTAGTGCATTATTTGTCATTCTAAATTCTAAAAGTAATCATCAACTGTCTAGAAAAGACCTTCTATGGTTATGGAACAGTAATCAGAACTTTTTTTTATTTTCCTATTGAAGTCTCATTCATAAGAATTCCTAACTTTTTTAAATAGTCCATGTTGTTCTCGCGAATAGAAAAAAAGAAAAACATCAGTTTGTATTAAACAAATATCGGAGTACAATACACTTTATCAACGAGAATAATTAATTATATATGTTAGCGCATGGAACAATGAAAAACAAACAAAAAAACTCGAAAGAAATATAATTTTTTTTTCAAGTAAAACTATTTGGAGTTGATGACGATGATGACGATTGACGATGGTCATCATCATTACTCAGACGCGTCGTGTTCGTTGTCGACGATGCATCTTGCTTCTCTCGTTTAATATTGAGTGATATGGCTTTATCTTCGTTTTTACTTATGTCATTTAAACTTTGCAATTTATTATCTTTTTTCCATTTCATTCGACTGAAGAGAAAAACAAAAATCTATCATCAGAATTTACTTTTTTTCTTAAATTTTTACATACCGGTTTTGAAACCAAATCTAGCAAATTAAAAAAAGATTTTTTAATAAAACAAAACTATTTTTTAGATTAATTTACTTTAATTTGTCGTTCCGTCAAATTAAGACTATGTGCAATTTCAATTCTACGTCTTCGTGATAAATATCTAACATAGAAAATATTTAAAGTAAATAAGAAAAATTTTCAATCAAAAAAAAAATAAATGCAAACCGATTAAAATGAAATTCTTTTTCTAATTCAAGTGTTTGATATCTTGAATATGATGTCCGTGTCCGTTTCGTTTCGCCAATATGTGGATCTAAAATCGCGTGTTAAAATTCATAGATCATTATTTTTGTTTGCATATCATCAGATAAAATAAGAAACGAAATTCGAGTAAAAAAGACATTAATCTCACACGCACTTGACATTGCATAGTTTCTCTCGACATTGGACTTCCTGAATATATACATACGCCGATATGTTTGATGCCTTTTCTTTTTCTTCTTTTCACTATTGTTCTATTTAGTCTCATCGATTACATGACCATTAGAACCATCTGTTGAGTCTTTGACAATGAGTCGGCATCATCTTGTATGCGTGTGTTTCCTTTTCTCGTATCTTTTGTCCCAATCAGATTGCAAAGCAAACGTCGTATATATATACGTATGTATATACAAAGTCATTTATTCATTCGTCCCGACCAGAACGAACCCATAAATCTCCTCTCACGCGCTAGAGAACGACATAAATAGCCCATAAAAAAAGATTGTGTGTATGTGGTAAAATTGTCGATGTTAGAATATAAACAAAAAAGAAGGAAGAAACTAACGACGAATAGAATTTCACATGTTTCTCTTTTCTCCTCGTCGGCAGTGTTGCAATTTTCAACGAAAGATATACAAAAGCAACTCACCACAAGTAGTATGCATACGTCTCATCCAAGGATAAATATTTTGTTGTTGATTTGCCTGTTGTTGTTGTTGTTGTTGTTGCTGCTGTAGTTGTTGCTGTAGTTGCTGTTGTTGTTGTGGATCGATTGACATTGAAAATGAATCCGATGGTTTCAATATGGGCTGTTGAGGATGTGGATAGGATATATAAGAATTCATAAATGAATGATGTTGATGTTGATGTAAATTGTTTGATGTCAATGTTGAACTAAAACCATGATTAGATACAACTGTATCAGGTCCGAGACCTGTTGTTGGCGTAATATTTGTGTATGGATAGTCAAAAGCATTAACAAACTGTCCAGTTGACATATTTGTATAATAATTTCCGGCAAGATTGGGATCATTTTGTCGATAGTTTAAAAAATGTCGTACAAGTGGATCATGATTAAAATGTGATGGCGATGTTGATACTGAACCAACAACATCAAATGGATTCGCTTGTTGATTAGATGATAAACATAATGGGAAATCAGCATTATTTATATAGGATGGATTTGTATCAAAGGAATTATTAATAGTAGTAGTAGTAGTTCCTTGTATTGTATTCTCATCAGATGATGTACTATTACTACTATTATTATTATTATTATTATTATTGCTGCTATTTGATGTTGAAAATAAATGATGATAGCCTAATGATGACGGTGTTGACAATACATTAGAAGCAGCAGCAATAGCAGCAGAAGTGCTAGAGAAGGTAGCCATTTGTCCGGTAATTGAGTGCGCACACGGGACTTTAACGACGTTAATAGCAGCGATAATCGGTATTGACGAACATCGTTTTGTGAGTTTAATGGGAGTACATAGAAGAAAGAGAAAATGGTAATTGAGAAGGAATTAGATAGACCAGATGAGATGATTAAAAGTCAGTCAATTCAATGGTCGATGATATTCTTTGTATCAGTAATGGTGCAATCAACTCAAGATAATGGTCGTTTGCAACCCTATATAAATGACTTTAACTGAATAGCAATAACGAGTCATTGCTCGCTGACTTTCTTTCCTTTTTTTCTCTTAGCTTTTCTTTTTTTCCCTATGCAGCCATCGCTCTCGATGGCGATAGGTTGAATATATGATTTTGTCGAACGCATTTAGTCCAATCAAAAAGTCATTTATTTATACATGATGGGTAAATGAGATGAATAAAAGCTAAGTATAGTTTTTTTTTCTATTGCAAGAATATACATTTGTGCCATATCATTTATACAATCAGTAGGCACAATGATGAATAATTGCGTAAATGCTATATACATTGACATGATTAGCAAAATCTGTCTGTGTGTATAAGTACTTTTGTTTTTAAATATTTAATCCTTTCATATATGCAATAGGTTTTTTTTGTGTTTATTTTTATTTTCTTTCAGTAGCTACACGTCCATAGGAAACTATTATCTTGGAAATGTTTACATCGAATAAAGTATTGTAGATAGAAGGCAGAGAAATTTTCGGAAGCCATCAGTGCCTATTGTTAAAAAAGAATTTTTTTTCAAGGGAAACAACTGCTACACCGTTTATTGCTGCTGGCGCATCGCTCATAGAAGAGATAAAAAAAAAAGAAGAAGTAACGAGTAATCGAAAAGTAACTTGATAGATCAAATATATAATAATCTGTTTTTTATATAAATTTCATTCATCCATTTATATATATGTATATAAATAAAGAAGCAGAGTAAATTTTATTGACCCACGAAAAAAAGAGGAAAAAATCACTAGTAGTAATAATATAGTTCAAGAAGAAAAAAATTCTATCATCATGAAAAAAATACAGACAGATGTACCTCCATTGACGTACAAAAGAAATTTATCAATTGATACAAACAAATTTTTTTTTTCAAAAACAACAACAGCTAACCGAACTATATTCTAATTTCAATCATATTCTTTCAAAATTACTCGACTCAAACATTCGAATGCGTGATGAACAAAAAATACGAAACAAGAAGAATTAATACACTTTAACACATATAGACTGATACAAAAAAAAGTTAGAAAAAGGGGAGAAAGCAAAAAAATTTCATCTGACTAATTATTTCCTATCTGCCATTTCTCAACAACTCGAATCTTCTTATACAAAATAAATAAATAAATAAATAAATAAATAATTTTCAGAAGAGAAAGAAAAAAACAAAAGAAATAATTAGTAATCGCCATAGAAATCACTTTCGAAATCGTTATTTTGTCGTTGATGATGATATTGTGGTAACAATAAATTTCCATGTCCAAAAGGTTTTTTTATTGTACGTTTAGCTCGAACAGTTAAACGTGGATTATAAGTCGAAGGTCGATTATGCCATTCATGCTCATTATGAACAATACTAAAATTTCAAGATTATTTTTTTCTTCGAGAAATTTTCAAATAAAACTTACCTTAACATATTAACAACTGTTTGAAGTGAATTAAGAATTGAAATTGGTGTCATAGCTTCAACTTCTATATAAAAGAAAAGAAATAGTTTGTTTAGGTCTCTTTACAAATGCTCTCAAAGTAGATAATACTTCTGCAAGAATGTGTTGTTTTTACTAACCTGTATATAATCTAAATGCTTCCATTTCATCACAGAATCTTTTAAGTTTAAATGGATCATGTGCACGTTCACGAGCGACCATTAAATCATCGATACACATTGTTAAACTGTAATTTGAATACCAAATTTCTATAAAACTTTTGATATAATCAACAAGTGAGTCATTGCCAACGATTAATTCTGAGTATTCTTCAGGCTCGAAATGGAATCCTATTGAAAAGAAAAAAATTAAGATCTTAATTTTCTATTATAAAAATAAACAAACGAACCTTCTATAAGTAATAATCGAACAATAGTTGTATTATGTCGCATTTCAAATTCATGTACATTTGTGATATTTTCACTCAGTGAAACAAGTACATCGTCAGGCGTTTCTCGAAATTTTTTTAAGCAAGATGCTTTAAGAAATAATCGTACAATACGATTCATTAATTTACGATCGAATGATCGATCGCCTAAACGACCAATTAATACATCAAGTAATTCACCGTAGCCATATGCTGGTTTGATTGCAAAACATTCAAATGTATGTGCAATCAATGTCTGATGAATGTCTAAATGCGAATGTTTTTGTTTTTGTTTCATTTCTTATTATTAACAAAATTCGAGATCAAAATTATACCTGCTCCTAAATAACAAACACGATTTTTCCATAAAACATTCCATAATTCATCAGCAACAGACTCAACTGGTAACATTAATTTAATTAAACGTAGGCCAAGAAAAATTGCAACATCAGTTAAATAATTTGTTGCATTTACAAGAATATCATGAGAGACATCTTCAATAGAAACTAATTCCATTAGTTCTTCTTGTATGGGTAATGACCATGTGCCTAAACAAGCAAAATATTAATAAAAACAACCAACTAACGCTTGGATAGGATATACTTACATGCACGAAGTAGATCACTAAGCTTACTGGCTAATGAAGCAATAGCTTTACCAGTAACTGATCGTGATGGTTTAATCATAGTATCGTCTTCAAGTAAAGCACAAGGAATAGGTGAAAGTCGTTTTGTATTTGAATTGTCTGAGGTCGATCCTAGGTCATTGCCGCTTGAATGTGTTGCGTTTGTTGTCGATGATGGTGGTGGTGAACTTGCATTTGATGTTGTTGCTGTACTTGTTGTTATTACTGTTAGTGGCGATGGAGCAGATACAGGCATCGTTGATGTCGATGGAGCCATTTTACCAGGCATCATTTGTGCTTGACTGATCGTTTGTCCATTTGGACGCATATAAAATGGTAAAGGTGAAGCAAGTTGTTGTTGAAAAAATGCTCCACCAGGTGATGTTGGTGGTGCTGTAGCTGCCATGAAAAATGCTGATGGTGTCGTTTGAAATGGATGATGTTGCATGGACGAGTCACTGTTATTCGTATTATTACCAACAAGCATTTGATGATGTTGCTGTAGATGGCGATAAGGTGACATGGAAGATTGATGTGCAGCATGTTGCATCATTAGTGATTGATGTTGTTGTTGGACAGCAGCTAAATTTGGATCGAAAAACATAGCTGCAGCAGCGTCCGACGGCATTGTTATATAAAATGTTTGAACACCAGTCATTGGACTTGATGGGACCATTGGACATGCTGGCATTAATCGTATGGGACTTGGGCAATAATTACTTGGCATTGAATACATTATGGATAAACTAATTACTTGAAGAAGAAGAAGAAGAAGAAGAAGAAAAAAAAAGTATTTGATTACTTTTCTTATGTTAAGATAAAAAGATAAGTGTTTTACTGTGAGTTATATATGTATATAGACGACAACGATTAAGAAATCAGGCCAGTAGGTAAGCAGACAGACAAAACAGACAGAAGCAATCACGTCTGATAGTTACACCACACTGTTGTTTTATGATAGATTATGTTTGAAAATCGATTGTTTTTCTCTAGAAATTTCTCTGTTTTTTCTTCTTTATTGTATTCCGTCGGACGATAGAACGATTCGAATTAAATGAATAGTAGACAACGATATATAGACTCTTTCAGTATAAATAAAACAAATAATGGAAACATAAAGAATCGATGTGGTGTTGCTGGACTAGAAGAACGAAAAATACTACTAGTAACCAAATCACACGTGTAATATGGGGATATATTGTTTTGTTAGTTGTTAGTTGTTCGACGAACAAAGAAAACAGATTTGTATGACGATGTCATTCTTTAGTTTTCGAAATGTAATCTAGAACAATTTACCATCGATCGATTGAATATCCATCCAGTCATTTCAAATTAAGAATATAAATTAAGAAACAGAGATCATTTGTGGAAAATGTTTTGTTAAAAAATATTTGAACTAGGCTACTATTAATTAATCCATTATTGTAGTTGTGCATTAAACAATAAACAAAAATTTCGATACGTATATTCAAGATTATGATTGCCAATAGTAATCTAATTTTTACAACAAATAAAACTTAATTCACCGAAAGTAATGATTTTTAATGAGAAAAATATCCTTGAATTCGAAATGAAAATATGTGGCAAATCCAACCGATTGAAATAAGGTTTCGTCTAGCAAAGCAAAAATCTTGTTAATAAACGTCCTTGATTTCATAATACTAATGAAAAAAAATTCCTGATAGATTCTTTATCGTGATAAATTTATTTTCCAGCCGATCTTAATTATATTTTAAATAGAAAAAGAAATTTATTCTATTGAGAATTATTCCATTCTCATGTCCAACTTTATTAATCATTAAGTTTTTCATATTTTACTTTCCATCATCGTTGTCACACACATTTAAAGACAAAAAACAAACGAAACGAAATTGTTTAGATTGAGTTCTTCAATCGAAAAAAAGAACTGGTGACTAGAAAATAAATTAGCTAACAAGACGGGTTGTTATATTTTTTTTGTCTATCAAACATAAAATGCGTGTTCAATGTTTTTTGTTTATTTAATCAACTTCTTCGATTGTTGGACCTTTGTTACTGCCTTGTTTACCTCCAGCACCACCAGCATGTGGTGCACCACCACCATGAGCTCCACCTTCACCACCTATAATATAAATAGTATATTTAAATATTCTATATTTCTTGAAGAATTCAAATCACTTACCATAAAGTTTAGCCATAATTGGTGAACAGATCTTTTCAATTTCTTTAAGTTTATGTTCGAACTCTTCTTTTTCAGCTAATTGATTGGTTTCCATCCATTTAAGTGCTCCTTCAATGGTTTCACTAATCTTAGCTTTATCATCTGACGAAACTTTCGCTGCAATCTTGTCATCGCTGATGCTTGTTTTCATGTTGAAGCAATAGGATTCAAGTGAATTCTTAGCTGAAATGCGGTCCCGTTGAGCTTCATCTTCTTTCTTGTATTTTTCAGCATCAGAAACCATACGTTCGATGTCATCTTTGGATAATCTACCTTTATCATTGGTAATGGTAATCTTGTTTTCACGACCAGTTGATTTATCAACAGCCGATACGTTCAAGATACCATTGGCATCAATATCGAAGGTAACTTCAATTTGTGGTACACCACGGGGAGCTGGTGGAATACCAGAAAGTTCAAAATTACCAAGTAAATGATTGTCTCGTGTCATTGAACGTTCACCTTCAAAGACTTTAATATCGACACCAGGCTGATTGTCCGAATAGGTGGTGAATGTTTGCGTTTGTTTTGTTGGAATGGTTGTATTACGCTTGATTAAAGCTGTCATGACACCACCAGCAGTTTCAATACCCTATAGAAAGAAGAAAAAGAGTAGAGGCATTAGTCAAATCGAATTAAGATTTGTTCTTAATAGACTTACCAATGAAAGTGGTGCAACATCAAGCAAGAGTACATCTTTAACTTCATCTGATTTGTCACCAGTTAAAATAGCGGCTTGCACAGCTGCACCATAAGCAACAGCTTCATCAGGATTGATTGATTTGTTCAATTCTTTTCCGTTGAAGAAATCTTGAAGTAATTTTTGTACTTTTGGAATACGTGTTGAACCACCGACAAGTACAATTTCATGAATGCTAGCTTTGTCCATTTTAGCATCACGTAAAGCTTTTTCAACTGGTTCAAGTGTTGAACGGAAAAGATCGGCACAAAGTTCTTCGAAACGAGCACGTGTGATTGTTGAATAGAAATCAACGCCTTCATGAAGAGAATCGATTTCAATTGAAGCTTGTGATGATGATGATAGTGTACGCTAGAATAATCAAAGACAGTTAATTTACATTTAAATAGAAAAATCTTTTCAAAACTTACTTTAGCACGTTCACAAGCTGTACGTAAACGACGAAGACCACGTTTGTTTTGTGATAAATCTTTGTTGTTCTTTCGCTTAAATTCTTGGACAAAGTGTGTTACCATTCGATTATCAAAATCTTCACCTCCTAAATGTGTATCACCAGCTGTTGATTTGACTTCGAAGATACCTTCTTCAATTTTAAGTACTGATACATCAAAAGTACCACCACCCAAATCGAAGATAAGAATATTTCGTTCAGCTGAAACTTTTTTATCTAAACCATAAGCAATAGCGGCAGCTGTCGGTTCGTTGATAATACGTAAAACATTAAGACCAGAAATAACACCAGCATCTTTTGTTGCTTGTCGTTGAGAATCATTGAAGTAAGCTGGTACAGTAATGACAGCTTCTGAAATTTTTTTACCAAGATAAGCTTCAGCGATTTCTTTCATTTTTGTTAAAACCATAGATGAAATTTCTTCAGGGGTGAATGATTTTGTTTCATTTTTATATTCGACTTGAATTTTAGGTTTACCACCTTCACTAATAACTTTAAAAGGCCAGTGTTTCATATCAGCTTGAACAGTTGTATCGTCAAATTTACGACCAATAAGTCGTTTGGCATCAAAAATAGTGTTGTTTGGATTCATGGCCACTTGATTTTTAGCAGCATCGCCGATTAAACGTTCACTATCAGTGAATGCAACATACGATGGTGTTGTTCGATTACCTTGATCATTGGCAATAATTTCTACTTTACCATGTTGGAAAATACCGACACACTACAATAGATAATATAAATAGAGTTATATACGAAGATACTAAACTATTGAGTACTTACTGAATATGTAGTGCCTAAATCAATACCAATTGCGCGTGCCATTTGTGTTTAAATATAGTAACGGAGTGAAGTAAAGTAAAGTGTAGTGAATTCGCTAACGAGTATAAAAATTTCGAATTGTAGGCAATGTGTGTTGTGACCTGCGTTTAGTCTTTATATAGGGTACGCTTTTTTCCTTCTAGCATAATCGAGAACTTTCTTATAGAACAGCGGGGAAGAAGAGAACGAAAAAGAAGAAAAGAGAAAAAAAAGGAAAGAAGAAAGGAAGAAAGAAAGGAAGAAAGAAAGGAAGATACAATCAAGAAGGTTCTACAACATGGTTGATTCACACCAAGTTTGTTTTCGTCATAGTCAGCATGAATAATATGAAGAAAAAAAAACATTATTTTCCAGAGATGGGGATTTTCTAAAACGAAATAGTAGGAAAATTTTCGATATTTCGAGAATGTCCAAGTGACACCATGCGACATCTACCGATAACAAATTCTTACTTTTTTCAATGAGAAGAATCTGCAAACTCCATATAAAGGTTTCTCTCTCTCTCTCTCTGAAATGAGTAGTAACCACTAAAGGATTGATCTTCTACATGGGAATTCTTGACTAAGATACATAAACTACTATTTATTATTTTTAGATACTTTTTTTTGTACATCTGCGCTTTGCTACACCTTTATTCTTGAAACAAGGAGCAACATCACCCTCTACTACGAATTCTTATTCAAAATGTTGATTCATTGTGATAGATATGAAATGTTTTTTTTCTTTCATAAGTTTAATACAATAATGGTTTAGTTTTCATTTCGTACAGTACTATTTTAAAAATTGTTACAACAGAATTATTTCATCAAAGAGAAAGCCGTTTCAATACAATACATAAATCGAACACAACACACAATAAAATCAACTTCTTCTTTTTTGAAAGAATAAAGAATTCATTTTTTAAAATTTAGTTGATTTCGTTATTGATAACTAGATTCGAATGGTGAAAGTACAAGTCTGATAGCACTGTTTTGAAGACAACCATTGATAAATTCATCTTTTGATAACGATTGATTTTGATCAAGATCCAATGTACGAAATATGTCGTAGGCAACACATTCTGGCGAGCTTTGATACATTTTATTTCGTGTTATGGTGAAAAGTTTTCGTAATAATTCGATCATTTCAGTTGGCTCGATTGTTTGAGAATTATCAGTGTCAAATAATGAAAATGTATATTGTAATTTATCGAGTGGTTCACCAACAGATGTTAATGCGTAAGAAATAAGAAATTCTTTAAAATCAATGCTTTGATTACCTTAAAACACAGAAAGAAAAAAGAAGAAAAGCCTTTCATTTATTTAAAATAAATAATACGGACCATTATGATCAAATACTTGAAAAACATTTTCAGCAATAGATTCAACATTTTTTGTCGTAGAATTTTCCAAGTCTTTATAAAATTTAATAAATTGATGTTTGCTCAATTGACCATTGGGACATACAGTTATAAATTCTCGATACCAACCTTGAATAACATAGGGTGTTAGATGTGTTTGTTTCATTAAATATCGATAATCATTCAATGACAAATCTTCTTCTAGTTGATGATGTTGTTGATTACCCATCTATTTCAAATGAAAACTTTTTCTATGGCTTTATACCTTAGGAGAAAAAAAATGAATTGCTGACAGTTGGTCTCGTCGAAGAGAGAATCTTCTGTAAAAATGTCACACTCTTAGATTATCTCGTGATAGAAATAATAAGAATAAATCATATACTAAAGTAAAGAAAGCATAGAAAAAAAAAGTAGAGAAACAAGAATATTGAGCGAAGAAAATCATGCTTTTAAACAGAAGGCTTTTTTTTGGTAATATTTATATAAGAAAAATTATCTCTTAGTGAGCCTGTTTTTAATTTATTTTTATTAAAAAAATCATTCTCGTAGTACTCTTACTCTATTAATATGAGAATAGCATTAGAGCTGTTGTAAATCCTCTAATTTATATGAAAAATTTATCATCCGGGATTCTTCTTCTATCAAGTGTTTTATTCTGAAACTAAATTATGAGAATAAGCATACATCACTCTTAATCTAATTTACTTTTCTTCTTTTTTTTTTGAGAAAAACAGAAATCCGCTACAAATGATTATTACTGGGCATATTGTTATGTTGATTTAGGTTCAGAATACTTATTTTAATTTTACATATATTTATATTTTTTTATTCCTCAATATGTTTAAACTAATATTTGTTGTGGATAAAAAAAAATATTTAGATAATAAATGTCGGCTTAATCTAACCGCGTAGGAATACGCGTTTGATTGTTTTGTTTATGTGTGCTCTGCTCATTGTATGAACAAGAAAGAACATCAAAATAGAAGCATAATTTCCAATGTTGATGAAATTACGAAGATAAAAATAGATATCATAAAATAAATAATTGATTTAGACTCATTTTGATCTGATTTCGTCGTTGTTTAAAAGCAAACCATTAAATAATCGCAATATGCTGGTATCTGTCATGAACTGAATTCATACGAAACGTGCTTTTATCAAACACAATATTATTGATTTAAATAGACAATATGACGGCATGTGCATCAGTGAAGTATGAATTAATATCTATTATGTAAAACGATCAATTCATTGAAAGCGTGACAATATTGTTCGTTTTAGTTGGTTTCATAGAGCCTATTGAAATCAAATTAACGAATAAGATCGTACATACGCTGCCGTAAGCCACATATTAGAGGGCAGCACTCATGGAGTCGTCTGTTATATGACGAAAAATCAAATATCATATTTTTTTTAAATTTTTATTTAGAATCACGATGCAGATTTCAATTGAGACCTGTAGTATATATTTATAATTGTTTCAACTGAATGCACTTTCATCTTGACATAGATAAATCGGTATATATCAATTAAACCGATGATAACTATACGTAGGAGTATATATATATATATATGATTAATGATGCTCATGACTTAAATTATTTTAATTTAGATATAGAGAAAGAAAGAATATCCATCAGAAACGATTAATCAATCATGTACAATAGAAAAAAATCATTGTGTTTTTAATATATCGAATAGTCAGACGATGAATCGATGGTATGCAGGGTCGAAATTGAATCCCATGATTTACACAATTACCTTGATCATTCTTTTGTCTTTCTTTCTTTAGCGTCTTTTTTTGCACGATTGTATGAGAAAGAGCATGACAATTTTTATAAATACAAGCTCACTAGCTAATATATTTAATATACATTTCTATTTTTAATTTTTATACCCACTCCATTTTCTTTTTCCATTGGTTTTTTACCTTTACGAAAGCAAAGAATCAGTCAGCCGTGCTGAAAATGATACGACATTCTTGTTGATGCTTATGCATCGTTCTACTTAAAAGTATCGTCTATTAATGATTGCTAAACGAATAACAAATTGAGAAGGATACTCGACGGCAAGCAACGGCTTTCTATATACACTATACATAGAAACAGAGCGATAGAGAAAACGTCAACGTTTGCAATTTAGCTGTCTACAATTTCTATCAGACGTGTTGATACGCAGAAGGCCAAAAGAAGAGAACGAGGAAAAGCGGACTTGTTTTCATTCGCATATGGGCTGCAATAACGGTAAGCAACATGCTGAGAAGGGCAATAGCAAGAGGCACGCAACTATTAAGAAATTTTTATGTTTTCCATCAATTCGCAAGTCTATTCGAGCACGATCAGTGAGTCATGAAGTTTCAACTCAATCTCTATCGATGATTGATGATTTCGAACTAAGTGAGATTACTTATTTAACTAGTCTACTGGATAGAAATCTCTTTGCCTCTATTCATTCAAGAAATATCAGCTTATGATTCTGATAATCAAAATCAAAGACAATCATCACTAACCGATGAATCAACAACATCAGGTAAAAACAAACAAAACAGAAAATTCATACATTAAAACGCTTTTTTTGTTTTCTACAATATTAGTTAGTTCGGTGGCTCAAACAACTATGGCTGCAATCCGTGAGAAAAGATATCGAACAGCTATAGGATTATTAACCATCGATAAGTAGGTGAGTCCAATACGTATAGAAAAACATGAATATTTTTTTTCCTTTCTTTCTTAAATAGATCAAGTGAAACTTTAATAGACAAGAATGAAAATGATAGCAATTCGATCGATGAAAATAATTGGAAATATTATACTCCATTTACACTTGAAAAAATTCGTACAACACCGTTATTAAAAGATCTAATATTTCAATATGTTAATTATGAAATTTGTTATGCATTGAATCGTTTGCTTCGATTTGAAAATCATGATGAAAATGAAGAATTTCTCGAATGGTTTTTTGATGAAGTTGAATATTTAATGCACGCATTTGATGATAATAAACAGTATGAACATAAATCTTTACTTTTAAGTTCAATAGAACAAGATCGTTATGATTGCATGAAATATCTATTGGATCGTCAATTATTACCAAGTAAACTTGATATTAATACAGTCAATGATCAAGGTCGTCATTGTTTATTGATGCTTGCACATAAGAATGGTCCAATCGATTCAGTAAAATATTTATTAACACGTCATTTAGCATGTCTCGATACAAATAAACTTGATTTAAATAAATTTAGTTCTTTACATCATGCATGTCGACATTTTAATTTATCTCTATGTGAATTATTACTTCCATATACAAGTGCAAAAATATTTAAAATGGAAAATTCAGAATTACATACACCACTTGATTATTGGATTGAATGTTTATGTTCATTGAAACAGTTAAAACCAACACATATTCAATACCATTCGGATGCATTACGTCTTGATTATTTGCTCAATGATTTTGATTATTATTCGAATGTTTTATTTTTTCAAACTATTATAAATCACGATGGACAATTAACGAAAATTCCATTACGTTACATACGTTCAGTTCTGCCTCAATTAACATTTGAACAAAAACTATCCTATGTAGATCATCATGTTAATCTTTGTTGTACCTTATATAAAAATCGTTTATCAACATTAGTACGTGATTATGATAATTTAAAAATTAGTATACAAGCTGGAGAAATTCTAACTGAATTTATTTATGCATTAGGTACTGTACAACTAGAAGTACAAAGTCGTTTAACAGCACATGCATATTCAAGTGTTTATGAAACAGCCCTACAACGTATTTATCGTGAAAATAATAATCGAGAAGAAAATTCTTCTAATCGTTTAAATACAAAAGAACATAATAGTTTACAATTAACTATGCGTATGCTCTATTTTAAATTTTTTCGTCTCTTTCAATGTATTTATAATAATCCTGATGTGAATGTAAAAAATTTCCATTTTGAACATATATTTCGTCGTGTTTGGATTTATTGGAAAGAACCTGTGAAAGCATTTATTACGCAATGTAGAGAAAAAAATTTATCGTTAAAATCTATTTGTCGAACAATATTATTTAAACGTTTAATTCATTATCCAGCTGATATTGGACGTTTATCAATTCATCCATCTCTAAAACAATTTGTTGCATATGACAATCAATTTTTTCTTGTTCAAAGACATTATTAAACCTAAATGAAATCTTTATTTTATAATTATTTTTATCAAATATTTTTTTGTAAATATTTATTATAAATAAAATTAAAAAATATATCCCATTCTGTATTATAAGGACTTCGAAAATTGAGTAGACTAAGTGGGGAAAAGCGGATCCCGGATGCGAGAATATCATAAAAATAGAAAGAATCGGAAAATGAAATTACGCACTCAGGAATCCGTCTTTTTTTCTGGAATAAAAAGGAATGACTTAAAAATATTGTATACCATAGTTAGAAACTCACTTATGACGTTCTATAAGTCAGCGTTGACGGAAATTGTTTAAAAACATACTGTTCAGTTCCCGAAGTACTTAAATATTGCTGAGAACGCTATCCATAAAATAATACGTCTGTTTGGTCTTTTATTATAGACATATTCGAGCGAAAATACATATCCGTTTTGCTTGAGCTGGGTGTGGGTGTGGTTTTGGATGAAGTGATGAACCCACATCCACATCGTAATGACCAGTCTACTTCTTCTATCACATGTTTTGATTTGTAAATTTTTATAATATGAATCTTATTGATGCCTTTTGTTCTTATAATTTCTGGAGAGAGCACCGAGGGATCGAAGCACTTGATAAAATTTATTTTTGGTTTTTTTTATGCTCATTCGAAAGATCAAGGTTTAAAACTGCTAACTTGAAAATTTTAACGTCTAATAGATTTCCTTCGAAAAATTACTCAGAGACGACTTTTACCACCCTCACAAATTTTGAATGTAAAAAATAGCAAAAATTTCTCGATCAAACAACACGGTCTCATGGCTCAGAAGATTGTTCAAATCTTTAGACGAATATTCTGAAAGATAGCCCATACATAGGTTAATAATACTGGGTATTTAAATTATTGGATAGTATTATTCTTTTGGGGCTGCAAGCATCAACAAGTATGGTAAGTGGCATCATTTTTTATTTTTTTCTAGTCTATTTTTCACAGTATATTTGATCTAATCTTTCTAAATAAGTAGACCCCAAGCTGAATCTCGGATATGTCATGTAGCTTTTAATTCTACACAAAATTGCAAAGAACTTTTTGAAAAAGAATGGTATGCTCGATCCGAAAAGTAGCTAACATTACCGACATGGTAGTGAAAATCATGAAAATAAACGACATGTGACCAATATTAGATATCATTGATTCACAAAAATTTTAGTGTACAAAAAAATAAGATTAGTATACTAAACCGTTTAGCATAGTTAGTTCGTTCTTAAACTAAGAAAAAATTCTTCGACCTTATCAGACCTTCTGGGAGAGTACAGGAATCTGTTGAAAATTTCGAAAAATATTTTTTGTCATAGAATCGAATGATTATAGTTTCAGATGAAAGAGCTTGAAAACTGATCAAAATCAAGTAGTAAAAGCAGAACCTCAAAGGTGATATTTTTGAAGGCAGAGTATTTATTAAGTCTCACATTTCCAACTAATACGTCTTTTGGATAGAGATTTTACTAGTGGTTCATCCATGGTAAAATTGCAGCTAACGCATACCCTTCCATACACAGTTGTAATCAGTTTTTCAAGCTCTTTCATCTGAAACTACAATCATTCGATTCTATGACAAAAAATATTTTTCGAAATTTTCAACAGATCCCTAGGGGTAGCACTTTACGTTAATTTAATATTAAGTGTTAAGTAAAACTACTTAATTAACTCAAATTAACATCAACGGTTCACCCCTAGTTTTAAACCTTGATCTTTTGAATGAGCATAAGCAACCCAAAAATAAATTTTATCGAGTGCTCGATACACTGGAGCGATCCTCGGTCGGCTCATGGGAGCTCTCTTAAAAACATAATTTATATCAATGAATATCACTGGATCCCGTAGGATCCAGATAGATCCCAATGGATCCACTTTTCTCCCCTTGGAAATATGTCTTGTGATCCGCTGTACTCCTTGTATTTCTTCTGAACATGTGAGTAAAAAAGTGCTGGATGAATGACGACAAATTATTTCTTTATTGTCAAATGTTGAAAAATCGAAGAAAAATGAGTTTATTTTTTACAGTTCACTATCTTGTTATATATTACGAAACAACATCAATACGATTTCGTTTTGTCACATATCGAACTATTTGACCTTGCAGGATATGATTTTGAAGTTTAGTTATATTTGTTGAAATACTACGTCTGATTCTGTTAGTACAGAAGTGTCGAAATTGTTTGAAGGTAAGCAGAACGATCGCTGAACTAAACATGTAGTTCAAGTAGATGATAAACGATGTTATTGCATCAATGTAAACGGAATAGGTCAGATTCAGAGTAGTTTGAAAAAAAGCATAGAGAACCCACGGTGACCATGTCAAAAGAATCCAAATTAGAAATATGTGAATTGAGAAGAGAAGGCGTCGATGATTCCGAGTGAAATTCAAATTTCCTTGCCCATCAGTCCTACGAAAACATTTTCGATAGAAATAGATGCCTATGATAGACAAATTTGCGATTCCAATAAGAAAATAGGGTGTGAATATGATAAAGCAATCAAATATTTTATATATCTCACGTGTATACCGCAAATCACACGTTTGCGTTTTACTGGGATCATCGAGATTAATAGTCGAAGCTCCATTTTGCATGATAATTGGATAATAGAGGCAAGGAAAGACGATCGCCACGAATAGACTGACATAGTGAAGACAGATAGTAAGCGTAATATGTCTTCGATGACCTTGATGAAAAGCGAAGGGTTTCAGGATAAGAACCAAGCGTTCGATCGAGAGATGTGCAATAAGAAAATCATTGATTTCTGTTGGAATGTAATCAAAGTAAACGGTTAATTGGCATAGTGGAGTGCCAGCTACAGGTAAACATCCGTGATGATAGTAGAAATAGGTTCGTATTGGTCCTTGTACAAAAGTGATTAATGCTTGAAAGATGCAACTCAGCAAGAGTGCTTGATTTTTCACATTCAAAACATGTTTCGCTTTACAGACGAAAACACCGATAAAAACCATGTTGAAAATGATACCAAGAGGAACAGTGACACAGCTTATAATAAAAAGAACCCTATACAGGGGAACAACGTCGTAGCCCATATCATCTTTCTTATTGCAAGAGATAACATCTGATTCTGTCACGTTTTTCACCTGCATACTATGGAAAAGAACGCGTCTTTCTAAGGGAAGAATATAAAGATTGATTATGTTCACCGAGTATACTGTAAATATGTATATGGAATAGTTCTTTTTTTTTCTCTTACTCGAAATATCTAATTTGGCGAGTGAGTCTCTCTTGCAACAGTACGATCTAAAGCTAAAAATAGATAGATTTTTGCTTCGAATGTGATCAGTGGCGAAGAAATATTAATCTCCTAGTATCTCCGAGTCAGTAGCATCATACTGTTCTTTTACATTAGAAGTATTAGTTATTTTCCTGTTTTGACAGTCGCGCGTTGTGACGATTTTAGATACACGAGATGGTTGCGCTGGTGGAACTACGCTTTATTTAGCTTCTTCACATCACACATCTCATCGTTTACATCCACAACACGCGTTTATAACATGCGGTGCAAAAATCTTTGCAATAATGTCACACGCTGTTAGACCATGTTGGAGACTTCTAATTCAACTGACTTTTTTCTTGTTGGAAAGAACAGTGTCTGAACTTCCAATTTTGTACTAAACATATTTTTCTAGCACGAGTTTTGGAAATAAGGAAAATACAAAAACTAAACGCATGAAGAAAAGTTGTTCCAACTTCACCATCCAGCAGTATTATTTTCTATTTCTACTGGATTCTTTTAAAGTGAAAAAGAGAATGAATAAATCACGATCAATGGTGGTTTTTGTAGCATAAAGGATGCTCTTTCCAATGGTGTATTGAAAGGTAAATTTAGTTTCAGTTTTTGTACTGAAATATTGCTTTTTTCGAGAGAGACTGACAAATTTGGTCGTTCTCACAATGTGACTATTTTGGAACTGCAAAAGATATTTGTTCAGTTATTTTTGCTGCCAAGTTTCTAAGGTCTGATATAAGTAGAGATCATCGATGGTTCTTGATAAATATTCTTGAAAATTGATAGTTTTTTTCAATGGGTGCTTTTCTTACAAAAATTTCGTTTTTCAATTTCTTTTTATGAACAACTCAAAAATGAAGCTAAAAATCTTCCATACGCTGGTATCGAAAGAGTTTTTGAAACTCTACATTGTGGTGCATGTTTTGATAAAATTCTACTGAAGTAGTCTAGGATATTTCTGAAATACCGACTTTTCCAGGTTGCAAAAACTTTTTTCATGCGTTCAGTTTTTGACTTTTTCTCATTTCCAGATTCGTGCTAGAAATATCTGTTTGGTACAAAATTTGAAGTTCAGACACTGCTCTTTCCGACAAGAAAAAAGTCAGCTGAATTAAAAGTGTCCAACATGGTCTAACAGCGTTTGGCATTGTTGCAAGTACTTTTGCTCCGCATGTTATATGCAACCAAGAGAGAGAGAGAGAGAGAGAGTGAGAGAAGGAAAAGATACAGCAAGAGAAAAGATAGACATAACAATAGAGAGATGAGACTAACAGGAAAGATAATCATGGAAGATGATATATGTTCCTGTCAACAGAATAAGCAACAAGCTAATCTTAGTTACGAACGCGTAAATAACAAAAGATATGTTGAAGAGGAAAAGTCAGAAGATAAAAGGTGATGTATGAACACTTTCATCAGACTCAGAAAAAAAGGTGTCATACTGAGGGGTGTCCAAGGACTGAGGATTAGGAATCCCTCATCAGTTCCCCTACAGTCCCGTGCATACTGAACGTAAAAATATGGAATAGTCACGATAATTTTTGTTCTTACACTCATTTTCACTGGCAAAATTGGGAGAATCAATAATTTGATGCAAAAATTATTTTTAAAGCAGCAATGTCGCGACTTTCGTGAATGGTGGAACTGTGAGGAAACCGATAGTTGGTTCCCATTCCCTCAAGGAATTATTACAGCGACACTGGCGATTCCTCGGCACATTAGGAATTCCTATTT